GTTAAAAAATTTAGTATTGAACTTCGAAGGTTTTTGATAATGAAATAATACATATCGAAATTTAACCGTTAAATTTCGATTTCAAAGGGTTGCGACACAATCGATAACCTTCGAAATCTAACGTTGCGATATAATTTCGAAGGTTTTCGAATTAATAAAATTACTGATGAACTTGAAAATGGTACGTCTAAATATTTTTAATTTACTGGAATTACTAGAAAAGATCTTGTATTTTTTAGAAATCGATCGATCCCTCTATCCTGCTTTATTTGTTAACCGCCTTTGGTATCACTGCGGTGCTCCTATTCTATGACGTCGCGTTGAGTTTTTCAATGAAGATTATCAGCAGAGTCAGCATGCCTTAAATATGTCTTGGGTTCTTACTCGGCAATTGATAAACTTTGAAAGCGTTATATATCGAAAAATAAAACCACTCTATTGTTCAAAGATAGTATATCTCAGATTAGAAGGTTTAAAAATTCCAGATACTTTAATAAGTATGATTCTATGTTCATACCCAGATATACGCACTCTCATTCTTGATTGAAGTGTTAGTTTTTCTAATATACCTATTATAGAAATTATTAGATTTTGTCTGAAACTACAACATCTGAATCTTAATTCATGTATATGTCTTACTAATCGATGTATCACTGAAATTGCTCGCTCATACCCAAAACTTAGATATCTTGAGCTTGGTAATTGTTTGATTGGTAATAAAGCTGTTGAGGAAATAGCCCGCAAATGTACTAATTTGAAATATCTTAGTTTGGAGGGATGTATAGGGATTAGCGAAGAAGTGATGAAAAAACTTAATCCTAAAATTAACGTGAGCAAGCCTTCGGCTAAAATCGAATATCCAGATACTGATTCAAATGATGAATTCTCTGATTCTAATTTACCTCCACTTATTCCAGATCCATTAAGGGTATCTCGAGGCGTTATCTTTACCGGTGGACCTAATAGAATAGTTTTAACCAATACATTTGTAGCAGATCTTATTCTGCAATTAGATTATCATCAAAATTGACTGATTCAGAACGAATTAATTTATTAAATAGTCTTGCTCGAGCTACTTATCATTCATGGCAAAGGCTTTAGAGTGGATAAATATTTATTGTTAACTTTTTTTTGGCAAAGATATATAATACGTGTTAAGCGTGATCCATCCCCGCCATATCACCCATGAAAGAAATTCAAGGCATCGCTCCTAAAAAATAATTATCGAGTTATATAAAGCGATATTACATAATATTTTTTCGTTTAATGAATTTTATTTACCTAATGTAGGAAAGCAAGTCGGTCTACCTATCTGCCATATTTATTTTTTCGGTTAGCTAAAGATAATTATTTTTCAATTTGAATTTTTTCTTTTACTCATTATAAGAGGTAACAAAATCTCTTACCCAAGTTGGTGCATATGTATTTGGATAATTTTTTTTTTTTCGATTAGCACCATCGATTAAACAAAGATAAGTAATTTTTTCAAACAAATATAATTACCTTATAACTATGAAGTAATAATTTTATTTCAAGATGGTATCAAAAAGAAGCAGCAAAGATCACGATTCACAACAGTCAGAGAAGCTTACCAAATCAAGACCAGCTCTTGCACGATTGGCCAAGGATGATATTACAGCAATACTTTATGTCAAAGAGCTAAAAGGTGAGTCTAAAAAAGTTTCGGAGTGGTATAAAATTGGTACCCCAAAGTACAATAAAATATGGAAGTCTGAGAATTCATACTCATATGCTAATTCAATCGAAGATGCGAACTTGCCCAACTGGTACCCTAATAATACCAAAATCGAGAAAGCGGAAATATTGCCCGAACCAATGCCTCAAGAAATAATTACACCCGAGAAGCCTGTTATTATCAAATCAGATCCCATCGAAGTAAAGAGGAAGAGAGAAACAACTGAGATTAAGAATATCGCGCGCTGAGTATTGAGATCTGAGCTAGGGAAACTGATTATAGAGGAGTAAAACGGGTAATTAGGTATTCACTAGCCTCCAGCTAATTTCGGACAAAGAATTTTTATTTGTTGTGTTGTATATATATCTGTGATAATTTTCCTTACTTTACTTTTAATCCTAGACATGGACACTGACCGATGTTAGCTGATTTTTTGACGAAAATTTCATGTAATTGTTGAAGAGAAACATTCAGAAATAATGGTAGTCCCTCACCTGTAAACCAAAATTTCTTTACTCCCCTATTAACGAATTTCTTCATTAGCACATCCGGATCATCTTCTAAGGGACCATGGAATTTCTCAAACTTTCAGAAATACACTCTCGCATTTTTATCAGCTTCTTCTACCATTTCTTGATAAGTATAGTCAACAATACCAATTTTTTCCTAAATTGTTGCTATATCGTTTTCTAAGCATAAAAGCAAATCAAATAATCTAATTGGTTTATCTGAAGCGGCTTTATCCCTTCTAAGTTCCACTTCTAAAATGGGATTGATATCTATACCAAGTTTTTCTTGTATAGGTATTAAATCACCTACCAATTCTAACAACAATTCATATGAATCATCAAGTTTTTTCGCTTTCTTGTTCTCTGACACTGCGGTTTGATTTATATTACTGTTAATACCAAGTTTTTTCTGAATAGCTGTTATATCCTTTTTCTTATATAACACCTCGTATAATATTTCACTTGGATCAGTTTTATGTGCTTTGGCACTAGTCCCGCTATTATTAGTATTACTTGTCATGATTAACTTGGGGATATATACTGCGATAAAAATTCGGTTTAAATAATTATAATTGATATATTTGTAAAAATCTCGCCTACACGTTATCATACCCGTGACATGTATTCGAGATGCAGAGTCGAAGTGTCATTTATTCTGAAATAGGTGCATACTATATCTAAATTAAGTAACAAACAAGAACTGTGTGATACATATGAGGAATTGCTAATTATCAGCGATATATGTACACGATTTTATAGGTGAGCGATTATCCGATGCACATAATTAGTACGAAGACATCATATTTTGTGATCGCTGGCAATTTATTAGTTCGTTTTAATACGAGATGTAAAGAACCAATGTCATGGATCGTTGATGTCAAGCTCTGACGTATAAAAACATGTTGATATCACTGGAGTCTCAGGTAGGGGATTGAGTCATACCAAATGTCAAAATCAATAATTAATCGATTTATCAATTGCAAAGCAAATAACTACAAAAAAAATGCAACTTAACATTTCCAATATTTTTTATTTGTGATTTTTATCACCGTAATCATGCTCTATGAAGCATACAATCGGGACATAATAACAATGGAGATGGTTTATTCCGTTATCCCAGAAAATACAATATTCTATGTAATTATCGCTGTAGTATTTATTTATCTACGAAAATATGTATCACCAACTCCGCCTCCCATCCCAACCCTGACTCCAATTCCAACTCCAATATCTACTACGTTGGATGCGGATATAAAAGAATTAAAACAAGATATGCTGGCTCTAAAAAATGATCATGCAAGAATAGAAAATGATTTGGAATGGAGAAGTGAAGTTCGAAGTAGAGGTTTGTGTTATATTACAAGTTTAGCATGTATTCTACATGTTGATTAATATGGTGCATATTTCTTTATTAGGGCGAGTATCCGTGCAGAGCCACCAATCTGAATATCCCGATGAAACTCAAACTCTCTTTATCGAATTTACCGCCCTATTTGATAAGAGAAGAAAAAGAGTAAAATGCTCCCCCACAAAAATGTATAATGCTTTATCTCAAGAAATTAATCTCAGTCCCACAACACTTGCAACTTTTATCAGCACCAGAGAGCACCACAATGCACCTTATTGGATAAAATCGCAAATTGGGTTGAAAAAGAAAACTGGAAAAAAGATAACTCTCTTATTATTAGCAGTAGTAGCAGTAGTAGTAATAGAGGCTCAGAGAACCATTTCTCACGAAATAATAGTGGAACTAGTGTCTTACCGACACATAATTTTTCAAGTAGTAGTAATACCCATGGTAGCTCTGCTATAATTTTAGACGATAATAATGATAATAACTTAGCTAGTAACACAGAGTAGGGAAAGGAACTCTCATTTTATGGGTTAGGGCTCGAGATGTTCCTCCCTTTAAACATCCGCTACTCCAGCAATTCGATGAATCATAATTTAACGTAAAAAAATATGTATCTCCGTTATTTTTACAGATATTAATAAAGCAATTATTTGTTATTTTGTTGTGTTAGCTTTACTAATTATTTATTGTAGTAATAAGTCGCCATATTTCATAAATTCGGGCATATGATATATTATATTTTTTAGCTAGAATCGGTAATGCATTTGCTGTACCCTTGGCAGTAATTATATCACTAATTGCTTCGGGTGATAAGTGTGTCGCATCTGATCTTAATTTTTTAGACATTTGTGTACACAAAAAATAAGTCATACCATTTTCGGAAAAATATAATCAGAATTAAATAACATTTATTAGTGGAACTAGCTCCGCTAAAGTTTATTTTATAGCAAAACTAATCTTACGTTAATAAAGTTATGAGTAGACAAATGTAAAGCAGTCGGCGAAAAAAGACATTTTTCCCAATAATATTATTAATTTTATTAATTTAACATATGATAATAAAACGCATTGAAAATT